GATTTGATTTTTTCAGATTTCGAACCGTTCGCGTCCGATACGGTTTTTTAAATGTCAGTAATTTTTTTGTCTCGAGTTATTAACGAAAGCAAACAATTTCTGTCAATCACTCGTACGTGTATTGATGCAAAATACACGGCGACGTGTCTCGAGTGCGCCACGGACGGACGAAGGTTTCATCAATCGTGTTGCAGATAAATACGTGTCGGTCGGTGGGACTTTCGTTCGTTTGGATCGCTCTCGCAACCGTCTGCAGAAATTTTGTTTCGTTTCGTTTTGGCTTTCTTGTCAACAGCACGTTCACAACACGCACAATGATATTAATGTTTTTTAATTAATTCTATTCGCGTAAGTGTGAGTCATTATTTTACATTATTGTTKTTTCAATAATTATCCTCGACAATCGCCGGAGACGACAGCTTTCTCGCCTCAAACGGATATATTCCCAAGCGTAAGAYGTCGAGGGGTTTTTTGCAAAAAAGTCGAGTCGTTATTATTATAACACGACACACGAGTAGTTACCGACGATTATTGTTATTTGATTGCACAAAGATATATTATTTTGTTTGAAGTTTTGTGTGTTACATATTATTATAATACTCTATCTAWWTATTTTATAAAATTATAGTCATTAACATAATAATTTTAAATATTGACGGATTTTAAAGATATCGTATAGTTTTTACAGTATTATTGGATTTAGATATGATTTGGGTTTTTAATTTTTGAAATACATGTCCAATTGTACAATTTAAAATTCTACAATCTTATAGTCTTTGTTTTTTTTTTTTACTTTAAATGAACTCATAATATTAATTACTTATTTAATGTTTACTTCATCGCGCTTTATACTCACCGACTGAAACAGAAATCGATGAAAATCTCAGTTCTGGATTAACGTGTTTTACTGTTTTACGATTTCGCTGGTGACTGGGAAAAGTTGGTTACGATATATAATGTTCTTTTTTGTTTAATATATGTGGACTTCGAATTTCTTGATTACCTATTCTTGATTACCTATCGTATTCAAATAACACATACTTACCTGTATTTAGCCTAATA